GTGCAGATACTCACTTCTGCCACTCAGTTCCCCGGATTGAGAGAGGGTCACTCACTGGTTAATTTCTTAATTGCTAGTTAATTACATGAAACACAAGCAGAACTATTGGGTAGACTATAGTGCCTTCTGCTTCTCCAAGTGCAAGCAACAGAAAGAGGGATGTTTCTCTTATGGACTATTCCTAAATGGTGTCACCAGATTACCAATTATTGCCTAGCATCTTCTATCACATTCACTAGGCATTAAAGTGTCACATATATTTTTTTGTAAGGATTTATCTTGCTCACCAGCATCCAGAAAGCATTTGGAAGGCATAATAAGTAAGGTATAGCACCAAAACTGTAGCAGCCTGTGATGAATGAGAGGCTGTGATCCTTAAGGGATGAAAGGTCGCAATCAGTTAAAAAGCTCCTGAGCATCCAGACACTGGCCTGATCCTCTTGAGCTTTTGAGATCTTTAATCTTTGAGCCATCACCATAATGGTATCTATGTATGAGACCTTGTTGTGAACAAGGCTCAGAGAATTGAGGGTTGGTCTATGGCAACAGAGTAGGGATTGAAACTGAGCTCATTATCTCTTGCATAGGCTGCAGAACACTTGTTCTCTAAGTTCTGAGTTTAAGTGTCTACTTCTGTAAAAAGTGGGTAAAAATATTTGAAATTCTTCACTGGGACAATTATGAAGTGGGCTGTAGAACACGGTGTCTGGCATATTAGGGGCATTCAATAAGCAAAGCTGTGACTACCATCATGACACTTGGTCATTACCACTCCTTAAACCACAAGTTTATCCTTTTGGTAGTCAAAAAGGCACAACAGAAGCAGGGAGGAAACACAGGAAAAGGATGTCCTGTAACTGAAGCTTCCAACTGCTAAAGAAAACTCAAAATAAAACATGAAAAGAAATGCATTTTCTCCCTATTTTCCTAAAAATCCATTTAGAAGGCAAAGTTGACAACTAGCTTTGAAAACGGCAGGATTACAGTTGCTTACTGAAGAGAGCAGCGTTTACTTGTAGTGAAGCTCTGGGAAGACAGGACAGGTTTCTCACTGACATTTTAGGTCATGGAGGCATGGAGGGTACCTTGCCTCAGGTGGGGATCTGAGCAGAGCTCTCTCTGGACTTCCTCTCTGTGACTCTGAGACCTACTTCCTCGGAGTTTTACCTACCCTGCCTTAGACCTAGAAAGCTGTGGTGGTACATGTTGTACCAATCAATTCTCACTGAAAAGGAGCTTTCACAGATCATCTCCATGGACATCACTTTTACCAAGGCCAAAAAATCTCAACTCACCCATGTGGCCTCAGAATATTGATCTCACAAATGCCAGCCCTGGATTTGAATTAGAATCTTCTGGAGTAGCCTGTAACTTCAGGTGTCAGAACAAAGGTGAGACCAAGTATACCACAGATTCTATGATTGAGTCTGTGTTGGGGACTTCTCAGAGAATCTCACAGGATTCCAATAAGCTTTGAGTTTCAGAACCCCCTCTTACACCCAGCCTCACAACACTCAAGGCCTGAACAGAGAAAGTAGTTTATCACAGCCATCTTTGAATGTGACACAGCTCACAGTGATATAACATTTTCTGCAGAGCAGGCTGGTCTAAGCACTTTGTTTTGCCATATATCTCAATAGTCCACGGAGACTACAGCAGTGACAGAAGGATTTATTAGATGTACATTTGACTCAACAGACTTGGGTCCAAAAACCTGAACCCCGAGCAATGGAAGGGCTGTAGTTTCGTGTATTTTGCCAAGGTTGTTGCTCTAGTAACACATAAGTTGGGGGTGGGAAAACAGAATAAAGCCATTTGTAAGGCTGTGCTAAGTTGCCTTGGTTGGGTAAAAACAGGAATTTTTGAGAACTGGAGGTTATAAACCTTTATTTATAAAGTAACTGTTTTTATCTCCATTTGAATAAAGAACAACAGCTGAACAGAGGAAGAAGTTTGGAGAAACTCAAATTTTGCTTTTTAAATCTTGCTTCAGTGTGACCATGCTTAAGCCTGATACAGCTCACATTAATGAAATGTTTTCTGCAAAATGGCTGCTCTAAGCATTTCATGTGATTCCACTCCTATCTTGGCCGTATTGTTTGAAAGACAGGTGAGGAAACTGAGGTTTACTGTGTTGTACAGGGAATATGAAAGGTCTGAGATGTGAGCCATGAGCTGGGATGTGGGCCTAATCAGTAAAGTCATGGGCCCTGATTCCTTAGTGCAGTGTGTTTGATAGAGTAACAATGCTGGCTACCCCAAATCCTAAAATTTGCGCATAATCTCTCCACTCTTCACACAATCCTGAATCAGGACCATGACTATTATATAGCCATATAGATGGGGAAATGGACTCTAGGGAAGCCAAGACTCACCCAAGACTGCACAGCTCATTGGACAATCCTATTAGGTACTCAGGGTTTTTTTCTTTAACAGTGCTTTCTCATCCTCCTAACACCCTTAAATTAAGTCACCCTCATTTCACAGATAAGGAAACTGAGACACACCAAGGGGTACTAAGTGGCTCAAAACTGCACATCTTTGTAATAATATTTTGATCTGTTGGTGCCTACTTGGTGCCAGGATATTTTCACAGAGGACCTAAAAGCCTTTTTCCTTCTTAGAATAAATCCATGATTCCCACCAGTTCACAGATGAGAAAACAGAGGCTGAGAGAAACAAAGACACTGTATCTTTGTCCCCCTCTATGTCTTGGTAAGTATTTCTTATGCCTACAACATTTTCATGGTTTGTTTTTCTTAATAGAAGTTATTTCCTGACTTTTGATGACTCAGCATATGCTAACACTTCACTTCTTCCATTTTTCTTCAAGAATTCTGAGGTAAACACCTCTCATGAATCCCTGCCTACCTAAGGAAATAATAGAAACGCTGCTTCCAAAAGCCTCACACTTCCTCTGGCACCTGCTCCTTCTGCTTTATGTCCACTGCTCAGTGAAGGAGCCACATCTCAGTGAGAGGGAACATCCTGGGTTCCCCACAGGCACTGAGATGTCCCTAAGGAAGGACACATTCTGAGACTGCAAAAGGAATTTCCTCATCTAGGGATGTCAAGCCAGCACTGTCTCCCCTCAGAGAAATTTTTTGAGTCTGTTGTGGTTTTAATTCCTGTGGCTGAAGCACAGAATAATCACAAGGTTTTGATAGAGGGCTGGAGCAATTCTGTTTACTCGGGCAAGCACATTGGTACTGCTGAGAGTAAGGCTATGGTGGAGGATATGAGAAGCACATCTTGTGTCCTTCATCAGTCACAAGTTGAGGCTCATTCTCAGCTGCAGTGTCATATACTTTAATGATACAACAAAACTCTCCTACAATCTTGGTTCAAGGAGAAACAGCCATGCCTAAGAGACAGCATCTGTCATGCCCCACATCTGTTCATCCAGTCTTCCTTCTTTCTCATGCAGCCTAAGTGGGAGCAATGGCATGACACAGAGGAACAAGTGCCCAACCAGGAGTCTGAAGACTGAGTCAGCCTAAGACACTTTGCTGATTGTGATTACTTAGGCATAGGAGGCACTATGTTGGCAACTCTTGAGTCTTTCTTTACCAGGGAAGATAGCATGAAGCCACAACCTTGCCTATGTTCAGTGTTGTGAGGACAGCCGACTACTGTCATATCTGGGAGGGAAAGTTAGCAGCATCCATATAAATTATCATATATTTACCCTCTGACCCAGCCACCACTTCCACTAGAGTTTACCCTCCTGTATTGGATGATGGATGTGTAAGTTTATCCTCTGCAACACTGTTAGAGTAGGCCATGGCTGGGATCAATTTAAACACCCACCTACAGATGATTGAAATGTTTTATGACATTTCCTTTTGAAGAAGTAACTTGCAGCTGTTAAGTAATGGAGCAGCTCTCTAAGTCCAGGTATGGAGAACACTATTATGAAATTATGATGCAGCTGACATTCATGAGATGTTTTCCAATCACAACAGCCTTTAGATCTGAATGTGAGAGACATTCTAAACTCATGGGAAATAGATGAAATACAGAGCTCTGGATTTCTGATTTGTAGTTATGAACCTCGAGTGGACCTATAGATCCCTCTTTGGAAATTATGTCTTTGCTGAGGCAGCTTTCATCATGGGTGGACTGAGAGGTGGGTTCTGTACCTCATCCTGGTACTAAGTGGTTATTTCTGTCCTCAGACTCACATTTGTAAGCAGATGGGCTGGATGATCTGAAGATGTGTCTTGTCCCAGAATTACACATTAAGAAGAAGATGTTGGCCATGGGCAAGAAACACAAAGTGAACTTGGCTGTCTCAGTGAGGATTTCTTATGTCTCTCACATTGTATATTTTTTCCTGGAAAGACCATCCAGGCGGTCTCAGGGTACTCAGTGCCCACAAGAGGCTGTCACAGATACAATAAGTTTTGGTAGACAGACCTAGGGAAAGATTCAATATCTTGGCATTTTTCCAGTCATGGTATTGAAATAAAAAGGAGCCTCTGAATATGAGGAATATTCTTAGTATTTTTCTTTAGAGGAAATGAATGTAAGTGCAGCCTCCCACCTCTGCAGTGCAACACCAACTTTGTAGATGAGCTCAGTCTGGGAGGCTCCCTTAGGGTTTCCTGACCTACAGAAAATATCTGAGGACATAATAGATCCTCAGTGCTGTGGTATAAAGAACGACTCACACTCATAGAGGAATCTCAATGTGGGTAACGTAAGTGAGATCTGCCTCTGGACTGGACTGTTCTTATTCTGTGGAAATAATGGTAGGGGTAGAGTGGAAAAACAGAAGGTTGTGCAGTAGTTAGACATTGGCTGCAGATGCTCCCTTTTACTTTGTGTGGATACTTGAGCCAACAACATACTGCAGGTCTTGGCTGCCCTGATAGCTGGGTGACATTAAATCACGAACATGAGCACCCACCATCCTGCCTGCTTCTTCACTGGTGCTCACAGAATGCTGGGTGTGATTCCTGACATGGAGAAATGAGTGAAGCCCAAACTTTACTCACCACCCACAAGCATCTTGGTGCCTCCTCCAGACAACAACTCCTTGTCCTCAGAGTGCGTTTTCTGAAACTTGACACAGTAGTAGGTGCCCGCATCTGCAGGGGTGACGTTTCGGATTTGGATTGAAAAGTCTGTGTTGTGTCTGCCTGTGGTATCTGCTATGTTTGTGACTCGTGGGAAGTGGCCTCCTCTGTAATTGTAGATTAACTCCTGGTCTTTTCCTCGTCCCCTGAACCACAGGATGGGTCCCACAGGAAACAGAGAGGTCACAGTGCAGTGCAGAGTGGCAGTCTCTCCTGCGATAATCCAAACTAGCTTCTCAGGCTGAATCACCTGCAGAATTTCATCTTTGGCTGTTGGGAGGGAAACACAGAGCAGTTATCATTCTTCCTGATGGTTCTTGTGTGTTTTTTAAATTTTATCAATATTGAATTCAGTGAATGAGTGCACTTGATGAGTGCATACTAGCTCAGCCCACTGCATTTGTTATCACATTTAACCCTCAAACGAATTGCTCATTATAGAAAAATCGAAGCCTATAAGGGTCAAAAAACATAAGAGTGTGAATTTGAGTGCCACTGTCTTCTTCAAAGTCTCAGGATAATCTCATGCTTCACTAAATGTTTGTTACTCTTTACAATCTGTTCACATAGTACCCTAGGCACAATATAGCACAGCTTAATGAGATTTCTTTAGATCGTGGAGTTCCAAGCAGTGGTGAGGGTGTCATTAATGGAAAATGCATTTAACTGTAGGATGCGTGGATCAGTTTCCCTCTTTCACAGAGATGCTTGTCCTGTCAGCCTGTGAGATAGTGGTACCCAGAACTGCCAATGTGCAATGGCATGCAACTTTTGTTTCTTCCTTTTTTTATTTTGAAAAGAATAAAACCAAATGAGACATAACAGGGTAGAGACACTGAAAACAAAAGAATGAACATGATACATGACTTAAAATCAAATACCAGGTGGTCAATAATGGCTACCATAATGCCTCTTGTTATGTTCAAAAGAATTGCCCATATTATCAGGCATAATAAAATCAAACAAAACAGTACAGAACAAACTGATAAAAAGAAAACAATAAAGACATTATTAGGGCTTCCAAAGAAGATAATAGTAAAATCACAATGGGTATTGTAATGCATCTTATTCTTTTCAAAGTACTTGCCTAGATCATCTCACATGATATTAACAAACAGAATACAATAAAATTAATCAAAACAAAAGAATGAAATCAATACAGGGCTTCAAATGAAGCGAACAGATATCAAAAATGGTTACCATAATATATCCTACTCTCTTTGGAATAACTGTCCGTGCCATCAAATCTAATATGATTAGAAAAGCTGAAACAGAATAAAACCAAGCTATATGGAACAATGAAAAAAATATGGGTTTCAAATCATGATAATAGATTAGCAATGGCTACTGCCTACCCTTTTTAGACAATTCCTCTCCTTTTACTTTCACAGGATGTATTGTGCATTTTGGATCCTACTAACTCCTTTAGTTTTTATACCAGGGAGGCAACCCCCTATTTACCCATGTGACTCTGAATCTTTTTACCCCTGAGCTTGATGTCACGTTGTATCCAATTACCTGCAAGAGCCTCAAGGTTACCTTTCTTTACAGTAGTTTTCTGTCTTATAAAAGTGTCATGGCTTTCTACCCGGTCTTCCACTGAAGAGCAAGCTACCCCGACTTTTTTCTGGTTCTGTCACACAGAGGATTGTTTCCTTATCTTGGACTTCCAGTCTATAATCTCTCTTTTGGGTTAAATGTTTTTCTTGTATGAAGTATATTGATGCACCCTGTCTCTTGATCCACTCTGCCTGTATTTCTTTTTATTGGTGAATTGAGGCCATCTGTATTAGTGATTATGGCCAATATTCTCTGCCTCATCTCTTCCACGCTATTTTTCTGATGCTGGTTGCCTACTTTTCCTCTTCATTCCACTGTGGACCCCATTCAGTGAGCCCCCTCTGTCACTGTTCCTGAAACCATGTTCTTTGTTCTCTCTCTCTAGAATGTCCTTCAGTGGTTTTTTTTTTATTTAAAGAGAAAAAAGAAAGGACATAAAAAAACAAAGCTGTAAAAAGGTACAAGTAATACAGAATTTCAAGAAAAAAATATACAGTAAGAAATCACTAGTTAATAGGTTACACATTGTCTTCTTAGAAACAGTTATCCAAATTATAAAATTAGAGAATATAAAGTGGACATTCATACAGTGATATTGGAGACAGTTCCATTCAATGATCTGACAAAAGCTCAGTAATATGGTTTTCCATCCTACATACTCAAACATACATGTGGTTATATCCCTTAGTCCACTTTCCTTTCCTCTCTTTTTTACAATAACAATTACAATTTTGGGATTTTATTACTCCCACAGTTCTTACTACTTTTTTTGAAGAGAATAAAGCCAAACATAACTAAGCAAACCAGAGTCAGTTAGAACAGAAGGATGGGCATAGTACATGATGCAAAAATAGAATACCAGGTGATCAAAAGTGGTTTCCATTGGGCCTCTTGCTATTTTTAAATTGAATTGCCTATATCATCAGGTATAATAGAATTGATCAAAACAGTACAGAACAAGACCAATAAAACCTACACTGAAGACATTACAGGACTTCAAAAAAAAAGATAATAGTCAAACCATAATGGGCATCATAGTATATCTTATTGCCTTCAAAGTGGTTGACTATACCCTCAAACTTCTTATCTATTTTGTTATCAAACAAAATAGAACATAGTATAATCAGACAGAACAAGATGAGGAGAGCAATACTGGGGCTCAAATCAGGTTAATAGGAAAACAAAAAAGTTATAATATATCCCGCTATTTTTTAATTTAGTTTTCCCTTAATTGAAAAAAAATGAGAAAAAATAGATTAATTTAAAAAGGGGGGAGATTGAGATAAAAGAGGACATTGTAACAGAACAACGCAGGTCAGAACCGAACAATTTAAGCATCACTGTGTTTCACCACCAGATAATCTAACATAATAGTAGTCACCATAGTGCCTCTTTCCTTGAATTATTTGAGTATAACTTCATATGCTATAGCATCAAGCATATCAAGATAGTGTGAAGCCATTCAAGAGAATGAAAGAATGACAGTGTATTTAGAACCAGCTAACAGAAAACGAACAACGTTTTCTATATTATCTCTTTGCCTATAAAAAGTTTTATTTATACTATCACATATAGTAAGATACAACATGTTAAAACCAGTGGAAACAGATGTACAACAGCTTGATGGGACTTCAAAACAAGACGATATTAAATCAGCACTAGCTTTTATGTTGTGTTGTTTTCTTGAAAATAGCTATTGGTACTATCACAGATACTAAAATCGAACAACCCAGGTTAAAACCATTGCAATTGATGAGTGAAAACATTATATGGCTTCAAACCAATATGATTGGGAATCATGATTACCACATACTTTTATGTATTCTTATTATTTCTTACACTAGGGAAACTATTCTGTATTTATACATGTGAGTTTGATTTATTTCACTTATGAGTATGGTCTCAAGCTGCATCCATTTATTTATAAATGTCTCAATGCGATCATTCTTTATAGCTGAGTAGTACTATATTGTTTAAAAATACCACAACTTTTTTATCCATTCCTCAGTTGATGGACACTTAGCTTGTTTCCAAGATCTGGCTATTACAAATTGTGCTGCTATAAACATGGGTGCACATATATCACTGTGGTATGATGCTATCAGTTCTTCTGGGAATATGCCTAGATGTGGAATAGCTGGGTCAAATGGGGCTTCCGGTCCCAGCTTTCTGAGAAATCTCCAGAATGACTTCCACAATGGTTGCACTAGTCTACACTCCCACCAACAGTGCAGGAGAGTTCCTTTTTCCCCACAGCCTCTCTAGCATTTGTTGTTGGTTGTTTTCTTGATCGTGGCCATTCTTTCGGGAGTGAGATGAAATCTCAGTGTGGTTTTAATTTGCATTTCTCTAATGACTAATGATGATGACCATTTTTTCATATATTTATTTGCCGCTTGTATTTTTTCATCTGAAAATTGTTTATTCATCTCAGATGCTCATTTTTGGATTGGATCTTTGAATTTTGGGGGTCTGATTTTTTTTTAATTCTTTATATGTTTTAGACAGAAGTCCTTTGTCTGAGGGGCAGTTCACTAAGATTTTTTCCCTTCAGTAGTTTTTGTAGGGTTGGTTTGGTTGTCATGAATTCTTCAGTTCTTCTTTGTCATGGAAGTATCTTGTTTCTACATTACTTTTGAAAGATAGTTTTGCCGGGTCCATCAATCTTGGCTGGATGTTTTTTTTTTTTTTTTCAGGATTTGAAATACTTCACTCTAAGCTCTTTTTGATTTGATAGATTGTGTTGAGAAATCTCTTGTGATTATGATGGGTTTTCCTTTATTAGATGATCTGTTTCTTTTCTCTGACAGTGTTTAATATTCTTCTCTTGTGTTGAATTTCTGGGATCTTGATTACTATATGTCTACTGTGGTTATAGCTGGCTGGAGTTCTGTATGCCTCACTTTTTTGAATCTCATTTCCTTTTCCTATGCTTGGGAAGTTTTCTTTAATTATTTCTATAAATATCCTTTGTATTTCATTTGTGTTTACCCCTGTGTTTTCACTCACATTTATTATTCTTAAATTATACTTCTTTATGTCATCTTATAACTTCGAATTGTTATTTCTTGGTTCTTTGTTATTTTTAAGAGAACCTTCTTTTCACAATTGCAAGCTGAAAATCTATCTTAAAGGTTTGAAAGTCTATCTTTAGTTTCTTTCAAACAGTTTCGCCAGCTTTCAATGGAGTTTTTAATTTCCTGGTCTCTTTGAATCTGCTTTATGTATTCTAAGTCATTTACATTTTTCTTTCAAGGTTTCCCTCACTTTCCTATTTTCCTCTATTCTTCCATCTGTGTTTTCTTTAGAGATGCTTAGCCATTCTTTGATTATGTTTTTCATTTCTTTTTTTACCTGAGATAGTATTTCTGTTCTAATTTCCTTTAAGGCCTCATGAAATTTTTCTTTATTTCAGTTGCCATTACTTCATAACTTCAGATGTGAGACTCCTAATCTCTTCTGTGTTTACATCTTCTGAACCACAACTGATTGGGTTGGAGGCCAGAGACTGCTTTTTGCTTCTTCCTGTTGTTATGTTCCTGATCTCTTTTGGAGAAGTGCATAGTGGGGTCCCCAGCACTTTCTGTGTTGGGTACAATTTCTCTAAAGTGAAACTGGTTTTTCTAGCTGGTGCTGGCTAATCTCTGATGGTAACCATTGGGTATGCTGCTGTAGGGCTGTTTGCTGCTTTTCCAAGATTGCTTTGGCTC